TAATTATCCAGATGATTTTAAGTTGCTCACTTTTATTTCTTTTTACTCTTACAGCCAATACATACACCCAAATACCTCCTAATCGTTACGTGTTTCCTGGAGCCGAGCTAACCCTTTTTGTGGACCCTGGCCTTTCCTTGGTTGAATTTGTGACTAATCAAAGTAGACTCCTTAATAATGACGACGAAGACGATAAAGACGATGAAGACACATCTGAATCTAGCTTTGACTCTAACTCGGAAACAGTTTCCGGCTGCGATTTTTGTGCTGATTCGGCTTCTCCCATTCTTCCAAGAGACAAACAAAGTTGTCCATCAAACAATGTTTCACACTTAGAAACTAGCTCCTCTCGACCAAAGGAACTAAGTGTAGAGTTGGACGGTTCACGAGTTCCTGGTGGCAAAGTCGACAGTTTACACATCGCTGCTTGTGAAGAGATAAATTTGGCTGAAGAAAGTAGTCAGCATCCTCAGTATCACTGCCGCCACCGTCATCATCACCGGCAAAACCATATTCATAGTTCTTACCACGGTCACAGCCACATACACAACAACCAAAATAATGGAACTGGGTTGCCATCTCAGCAAGGTGAGGATCTACCTCTGGAAAATTCCGTCGCCAGGGTAAGAGCTGAGCGCAAGATCCAAGCGCGCACTTCCATTCCTTCATTCCATAAGGATCATGCGTTGCGACGATTACTTCGGCGCTGTACTGCCGATCCCATGCTAGTTGCCTACCTTGAGCAGAAGCAGCGTGCAAGGGCTGCGCAAGCCGTCTATATGGCAATGGCCGCTCGCAGACGGCATGCTCGCCAGATTCGTCTGCTCCAGGCCACCAGAGTAACTAGATCAGCGCACAAGAAGGATATAATCTCGGCCGACTCTAAAGTAGATTCAGGATCAATTGAAGGCGAGGATGACGCGATGGGAAATAGTAAATCTGAATCATCAGTTAGATCCTCCTCTTCCTCTCCATCATCCTCACTTGCTAGCGATTCCGCTGAAGAGACCAACGACGAAGTTGATGAAGAGCTGGATCAAATTCCTACAGCTGAATTCTCACGAGACAGCAGTGGTGATGAAGAATCGGAAGAACCTGCCTCTAAAGCTGGACAGCCTGACGGGAATACTGAACCACTCAAACTCTTATGCTCTAGTTCAGAAGGGGTCCGACTTGAGACAGCCAGACCTGAGAACAATTTATCAGTCAAACGGTCTCGCATTGATTAGTAAACTAAATTCTTGTTTTTGATTGACATTTTTTCTTCTTTCGCAATATTACTCTACATTCGTTTCTACAATATTTCGGGTTTAGTGCTCAGCAAGGGTGCTGCATATTCTTCTTACCCATGACGAGTGATTTGGTTAAACCGTTACCGATCTGTAGATACTAATCATTCTTTTTGATTTCCTTTGGTCCTTTCATTTGTTGTGCCTCTGCACTTCTGGGTTTCAAATCTTTGCCTACACTTAAATCTATCAGAAGTTTTCACAATTCTTTACCCTTTACCTGATACGCCATATCCCTTTATTCCTTCAGAGCTCATTGAATATTCTTGTGCCGGTTCCGGCTGTTAACGTTACTGAGTTGTAAAGTTATGAATAGCACTTCTTAAGCTAAGACGAACCTTCTATCGAGTTCAGAGCACACTAAACTTAATTCGGCTCTCAATTTCTTGATTCCACCATCAAGACGATAACTCAGGGACATGGAAGTATGCTTATAATGGGTCTTAGATCCTTTGTATGTTATTGTTTCATACTTTTGGGGCTAAACACAAACATATGTTAGTTATATTCGAAATGGATAAGAAAAAGGAAGCTGGATATCAGGTGTCGATCTATTTTCATGACCAAAAGCACATAAAGTATTAAAGTTAGAGTCGTGAGAGCTTGCGCTGTAAGATATATGGCGGTTATCATAATAAGAAAAATTAGAGTACTTTTTTTATTCAAAGACATATTTTTAGGCATCAGAAAGCCACGTATATGGTCCGTATATCAGAATGGAGTGGGAACACAGGCAACATCAAAGCGCACTGAGGGCTTAATCAATTTAAGCGAATGCAAGGTATGAAGACCGAGATGGTGTGGCCGCAGTCTCCTTTCGTTGTATATAAGTTGTTTGACCTTGTTTTCGCAACTCGTTCATATTGGTAGAAAGACTTAGAGGCACGAACCCAGTCCGCAGTCAATTGTACGCATGATAATTTCCAGTCGGACCCTAGACGTTTCGCCGACATCGTCAATGAGTCTTGCCAGTCTTAGCACTGAACTACAACTCGTCAAAGAGACAAGTGAAGCCGATCCTTTGACCAATTATCTGCTAAACAATCGTGGTACCTCTCCTTCCCCCTATTAAGCCAATGTGTTGGGCTAATCACAAATGTGTGCGGCCTATGTGGCTTTTGGACACAACAAAAGGGCGATTTGTAGTGAGCATCTGAAAAGTGTCAAGTTACGATTCATTGCAGGGTGTGGATGAAACTGAAATCTATATGTGGTTATTCTTAATATAAAGCACGATATATGGGGGTAAAGCACCACTAAAATGCCATAAGTTGGTTGCGATTCTTAGCTGCCGGAGACGTGCTGTGATGCTTTCTCATCTTGAATTGTTGGGAAGACTCATTTCGTGCGTAAGTGCGGCTTTACAGTTTTAATACGCCGCAAAGGCTGACGCAGTC